CCCCTCCCTTCGAGGTCCCTCTGCCCCCGCGGCTGCTGCCGTCTCGCCCCCCTCGCGTACGCCTCTTGCCTCGGTGGGGGGGTCCTCCTCCTCCTCCTCCTCGTCCTCCTCCTCCTCCTCCTCCTACTCCTTCTCCTCCTCATTCTCCTCTTCCTCCTCCTCCTCCACCTCCTCATCCTCCCCCCCCCCCTCCTCCTCCTCGTCCTCCTCCTCCTTCTCCTCCTCCTCCTCTTCCTCCTGGCCATCCTCCTCCTCCTCCTCCTCCTCCCTCCTTCCCCCCCTCCTCCTCTCCTCCTCCTCCTTCTCCTCCTCCTCCTCCTCCTCCTGGCCTCCTCCTACTCCTTCCTCCTCCTCCTCCTCCTCACTTCTCCTCCTCCTCGTCCCTCAAGCCCACCCCTCCCCCTTCCTCCTCCTCACCCCTAGACCTCCAGCCTCCTCGCCGCGGTTTCCGCGGCGCGGCGGGCACGACGCCGATGCAGGGGGGGGGTACGGACTACGACGACGACGACCCGACAGACGGCGGCGGCGCACGAAACGACGGCGCAACGACGACCGACGACGACCGGACGACGACGACGACTACGATGACGACGACGACGACGACGGCATCGACTGCCGACGAACGACGACAACGACGACGCCGACAACGGCGACGGCGAGACGACGACGACGACGACGACGACGACGACGACGACGACGACGACGACGACGACGACGACGACGACGACGACGACGACGACGACGACGACGACGACGACGACGACGACGACGACGACAGCATCGACGACGACGACGGCGAGGACGACGAAGACGATGACGACGGGCCCCAAACTTCAATCGGCGACGAGTCTTGGGGGGAAGTTACCTTCGTAAAAATCGCCACAACACAGTGGGCGAAGGGGCGACCGTGAGACATACAAGCCGCCGCAGCGTCGCCGTGCGCGTGGGCACCCACAAAGGCGAGTGCTACAGTGGAGAGCACTGGCTTACTTCGGCGGCGAGCCCGGGGGGCAAGTGAGAAAAGGCAGGCCTTCTGAGACGGCTTGGAAGGCCTCGGGCCTTGGAGAAGTTTTCTAAGCCTTCCTCGAAGAGGCAGAAGCCCTCGCCCCGCCGCCTTCTGGGAAGGCCTTCTCCTTCTCACTCCCCCCCTCATTCGCCGCCGATTCGGAGAAGGGAAATGCACCGATATCGTTACCCCTGTGCAAGTCTCGCTCTTGCCACCCCTTCCCCCGCCCACGGAACGAGAGAGTGAGAGAGAGAGAGAGAGAGACCCAGACCCCCTCGGATCATGAAAAAGTCATGGCCGCTGTTCTCGGCCTCTGGGGGGCCTTACTGGGCCTCGGAATCGTCAGAAAACGACTCGGGATGAAGAGCCAGTCCCGGGGAATGGGTCCGAGACCTCTGGGGCTCGACGTTCTGAACAGCTCATGACGTCGAGGGCCTGGGGAGGGGCAGCGGTAGGGGGGCACTTCCCTCTGGGGAAACTATCGACCCAGAGGAGAAGGAAGAGGAGGCGGAGGAGGAGGAGGAGGAGGAGGAGGAGGAGGAGGAGGAGGAGGAGGAGGAGGAGGAGGAGGAGGAGGAGAGGCGGAGGAGGAGGAGGAGGAGGAGGTTTCGCCGCCCTCGGGCTCCCCGTGGCCCTCCCGCAGGGCCGTCGTGAACCGGCTCGGGATGGAAGCGCCGGTCCCGGCGGAGAGCCCCAGGGGGGTCCAGGGCCCAGCCCCCCGACGCCGTGTTTTTTCTGCCCCAGGACGTCGGACGTCGGCCCCCCTGAAAGTCTCTCGCCCCCGTCCCCGGGACGGGCTCTTTTCACCCCGAGCCTCTCTGTTGGCGGTCCCGAGGCCCGGTGAGGGCCCCTGGAGGCCGAGGCTGCAGAAGGCACGTCCGTCGTGATCTCTCCACGGCTCGAGGGGGGACCCAGGGGCGTCGCGGACGAGCGGGGGGGTGCCGCCACCGAGGCGCCTCGGTCGTTCCGCTCTCCCCCTCCTCCTCCTCATCCTCCTCCTCCTGCTCCTCCTCCTCCTCCACCTCCTTCTCCTCCTCCTCCTCCTCGTCCTCCTCCTCCTCCTCCTCCTCCTCCACCTCCTCGTCCTCCTCACCTCCTTCTCCTCCTCCGCCTCCGCCTCCTCCATCCCCCTTCCCGCCATCCTGCCTCCTCCTCCCTTCCTCGTCCTCCCTCTCACCTGCCTCCTCCTCGCTCGTCTCGCTCCTCCTCCTCCGCCTGCCTCCTTCTCCTCCTCCGCCTCCTCACATCCTCCTCCGCCTCCACCAGTCCCTCCTCCTCCCTCCTCCTCCTCCGACTCCTCTCTTCCTTCCGCCTGCCTTCCTCCTTCGTCCTGCCTCGCTACTCTGCCTCCTCCGCCTTCTCCTCGTCCTCACTCCTCCTCCTCCTCTCTCCGCCATGCATCGCTCGCGCCTCCTCTCCTACCTGCGCTCCTCCTCGGGTCCTCTGGGGGGACCTTACCTGGGCCCTCGGAATCGTGACCGTAAAACGACTCGATGAAGAGCAGGCCCGGTAATGGGTCGATACCTCTGGGCTCGGGCACGTTTTCTGAACAGCTCATGAACGTCGAGGGCCTGGGGAGGGGCAGCGGTAGAGGGTGTCACTGGGCACTTCCCTCTGGGGAAACTATCGACCCAGAGGAGAGGAAGAGGGTAGGAGGACGGAGGAGGAGAGCGGCTCTTGGGGAATTGGAAGATGGGGGGGTAGGAGGGGAGGAGGAGAAGAGGAGGTAGGAGAGGAGAGGAGGAGGAGGAGGAGGAGGGGGAGGAGGAGGACGGAGGAGGAGCGAGGAGGAGGAGGAGGAGGCGGAGGAGGAGGAGGAGGAGGAGGTTTCGCCGCCCTCGGGCTCCCCGTGGCCCTCCCGCGGGGCCGTCGTGAACCGGCTCGGGATGGAAGCGCCGGTCCCGGCGGAGAGCCCCGGCGCCGTGGTGTTTCTGCCCCAGGACGTCGGACGTCGGCCCCCCTGAAAGTCTCTCGCCCCCGTCCCTCCTCCTCCTCCTCCTCCTCCTCCTCCTCCTCCTCCTCTTCCTTCTCCTCTGGGTCGATAGTTTCCCCAGAGGGAAGTGCCCCCCTGGAAGTCTCTCGCCCCCGTCCCCGGGACGGGCTCTTTCCACCCCGGGCCTCTCTGTCGGCGGTCCCGAGGCCCGGTGAGGGCCCCTGGAGGCCGAGGCTGCGGAAGGCACGTCCGTCGTGAGCTCTCCACGGCTCGAGGGGGGAGGACCGGGGGCGTCGCGGACGAGCGGGGGGGTGCCGCCACCGAGGCGCCTCGGTCGTTCCGCTCTCCCCCTCCTCCTCCTCATCCTCCTCCTCCTGCTCCTCCCCTCCTCCTCCTCCTCCTCCTCCGCCTCCTCCTCCTCCTCCTCCTCCTCGTGCCTCCCTCCTCCTCCTCTCCGCCTCCTTCTCCTCCTCCTCCGCCTCCTCCTCCTCCTCCTCCTCCGCCTCCTCCTCCTCCGCCTCCTCCTCCTCCTCCTCCTCCGCCTCCTCCGCTCTCCCCGCTGCCGCTCTCCTCGCACGGCTCGGGCGTGGGCGCCTCTTCTCGGCGAGGGCGCTCGAGGGGCACCGCCCCGAGGCAGCCTCCTGCCGGGCGTGTCCCCCTACAAGGGGGGTTTTCGATGACAAAAAACCCCAAATAGCCCCCCAAAAGGTCAAACAAGAGTAAACAATGAAAAATATAACATAAAAATAGCCCTCAAAAAGGTCAACAAGAGTAAAACATGAAACATAGAAAAAATAAAAGAGTCAAACAAGAGTGAAAAACAAGATGACGAAAAATAAACAATGACCCCCAAATAGCCCCAAAAAGGTCAAACAAGAGTAAGAAATGACGCTACCGAGGAACCCCACATGCTCAATTTAAATCTTGTGTGTCTGTTTAAGTTTATAACATCTGCGCAATTCTGCGTTCTCAGCCCTCGTCGCAATTCTGCGTTCTCAGCCCTCGTCGCGAATGTTTCCCTATGTGTCATCCAACGCCATATTGCTTGAACCTCCTCCCTCTTCCTAGCCTTCTATCCTCCGTCGAGGACAGATTCGAGCCAGCCAGCGGCCGCGGTGAGGGACCACCCCCTGCGCACCCTCTATGGTGTCGAGAAAGTGCCACGCCTGCTATGCCCTGGACGACCGTCGTGCATAGCGGCCGCGCTGAGGGACCACCCCTGCGCAGTGGTGTCGAGAAAGTGCCACCCTGCCTCTGCGACGTGTGGATAGCGGCCGCGGTGAGGGACCACCCCCTGCGCCCCTCTATGGTGTCGAGAAAGTGCCACGCCTGCTATGCCCTGGACGACCGTCGTGCATAGCGGCCGCGCTGAGGGACCACCCTCTGCGCACCCCCTGTGGTGTCGAGAAAGTGCCACTCCTGCCACGATCTGCGAGCGTGTCACGGATAGAGGCCGCGCTGAGGGACCACCCTCTGCGCACCCCCTGTGGTGTCGAGAAAGTGCCACTCCTGCCACGATCTGCGAGCGTGTCACGGATAGAGGCCGCGCTGAGGGACCACCCTCTGCGCACCCCCTGTGGCGTCGAAAGAGTGCCACTCCTGCCACGATCTGCGAGCGTGTCACGGATAGAGGCCGCGCTGAGGGACCACCCTCTGCGCACCCCCTGTGGTGTCGAGAAAGTGCCACTCCTGCCACGATCTGCCTGCGTTGTCTGTGCTGCGGTGTGCTGTGCTGTGCTGTGCTTTGCTGTGCTGTGCTGAGCTGAGCTGAACTGTGCTGAGCAGTGCTGTGCTGTGCTGTGTGCGTGAGGAGGATGGGTGAGGGAGGAAGGAGAGGTGCTGTGCTGCGCTGTGCAGAGGAAGGAGAAGGAGAGGGAAGAGAAGGAGAAGGAGAAGGAGACGCGCTTGAGACGCGGAAGGGAAGAAAACCAGAAACCCACCAAGCATGTGGGGAAATAGTCCCTGGACTATTTTTGGATTATTTTTGGATCATTGTTGGGGCATTTTATATTTTTCGTCGAAAATCCCCCTGTAGGGCCGTAGGGGGACAGGCCCGACTTAAAGCCAGCTTCTGGCCCAAGAAGCGGAGGCCTTGGCCCCCCCCCACCGCAGAGGCAGCCCCGCAAGCCATGGGGCCTGCGGGCCCTGGCCGTGCTGGCCCCGCGGCCGCCACTCTGAGCCTCGAGTACGGCCCGCCGAGGTGCGCGGCCCGCGGCGTGGCCACCGCCCCCCCCCCCCCAGGAGGCAAAGGTGCCTCATTATGCCGCTGCGCTTCGCCCTTTTTCTCCTTCCTTGCCCTCCTGGGAGACCCTCGTCGCCACCGCCGGATTCGCCTCGGGCTCCTGGTCAGAACGCACCTCGGGAGAGGTCCGGGGAGTGCAGCGGTTATCGGGCTTCTCATGCCCCTGCGACCTGGCAAGTTGTTTTGGTATCCCAAGTCGTATCAGTTTTTCGGATGATCGCTTTTATGGTGTAGTTTTGATTTTATCAGAGGGATCAAAAGTTAGATCGTCTATCTCATGGTATATCGATTTGACTACTTATCCTCCCATCGATGATTCTCATTGGTGGTTTCCTCGTGGGGCCACCGCCTCCCGCTCGCGTGCGGTGGGTTCGCGCTCCGTCGACCGACGGCGGCCCCGCCGCCCGTGTTCGGCGTGGAACGCCGCCGGCGGCCCAGCACCCGCCGATGTGGAACAGTCTGAGCGATGCAAAAAATCCGAGGCGGGAATCTATGCAATGACCACCGCCTGGAGGGTCAGTTTGCGGAGCCTCGGCAGGCGGTAGATCTGGACATGTTCGGGCCCACAGGGGCCGAAATATATCCATATCCTCCGCCCGCTGGGGCACCAGGACGTCGGTTCCCAGGCGGTGGATGTGGATAAATCCCCGTCTCGCACAACACACGGGGTCGCTTGCGCCGACACTGGCGCGTAAGCTGCCTGCGCAAGGTCGCGCGCAAGCGCCTCGGTCTCCAAAGCAGCGTGCCGCGCCAGCGGCTCGCCCAAGCCCGCGCGCAAGGTCGCCGTGCCATCTCGCGCAGGGCCCGCTTTTGACCGTCGCTCACCTGACCTCTCGGGGATCGCCGCTCGTTCCAGGTTGAACGTTCCAAGGCGCCTCCTCCTCCTCCTCCGCCTCCTCCTCCTCCTCCTGCTCCTCCTCCTCCTGCTCCTGCTCCTCCTCCTCCTCCTCCTCCTCCTCCTCCTCCTGCTTCTCCTCCTCTTCATCCTCCGCATTTCCTCCTCGGTGTCCGGAACCAGCGCCGGGGTCGACGGGACGCGGGCCTGCCGCACGGCCTCCGTGCGCGAAGGCCGCCCGCGGGGGCGCGGCTGCTGCCCCAGCCGCTCGGGACGGGCGCGCGCGGCTGCGCAGCCGCCTACGGCGCCGCTCCGGCGGTTCCCGCGCCGGCGCTGCAGAGGCGGGGCAGGAGGAGCAGGGGGAACAAAAAGGTGGCGTAAACATAACAACTCGGAGGTCCGCGCGGACCTCCGAGTTGTTATGTCTATGCCACCTTTTTGTTCCCCCAAGGAGGATCGACGTCTTCTCGGTGGCCGCGGCGCTGTTCTTGCCCTGGGCACTCTTCTGTGCTGCGTGCGCCGTGGTGTCGTTCTCGCTGCGGTACCAGCAGCCCGTCCTCGCGCGCGGCATCACTGGCCTGCTCCTGCTGCCGGTTGCCGTCGCCGGCGTCTACTCTGTGAGGGAGATCACGGGCATGCTGAGGGAGCGCGCAGGCAGGGCGACCTGGGCCATCTTCCTCTTCCTGGCCATGCTGCTGGCGTGGACTCTCGGTGTCCAGTTCGGCAATTACATCTACACCCTGTATCTGAGGCCGTTTTACGACATCGACGGCCTCCACGCTTATGCTCATGTCGACCCATCGAAATTCCGCGGCCAGCAGCTCATGGACGCAGGGCGCATTGTCTTCACCAGAGACGCCCGCCTGGACGTGCGCCGATCCATGGGCTTCAAGAATCAGGACACGTATTGTGCGGCGCCGATCACTGTTGGGAACGAGAATGTGACATTCAAGGAGCTGCCATCCTATGATTTCTGGGCTGTGGGCTTGAATTGCTGTGGGGAGAAAGGGGATTTCACGTGCGGAGAGTACAATAATCCTGATGCGCACGCTGGCCTCCGGTTGATGCGCGACGACCAGCGGAAATTCTTTCGCCTCGCAGTGCAGCAGGCAGAGTCGGCCTTCAACATCAAGTCCGTCCACCCCGTTTTCGTGCACTTTATGCAGGACCCGTTGGCGGAGGCGCTGTCCTACCAGGAAGGGGGCCTCAGATGCTACTTCGTGGGTCTGTGCTTGCACTTTCTGCTGCAGCTCTCCCTGGTCGCCGTGGCCGTCGCCCTCTTCCAGAGGTTGGACAGCCAGACCGCCACCCTTGACCAGGGGCGCGGTGGCTGCATGCAGGCCTCCGCAAAGACGGTGCTCCTGTGATGCTGATGCGGATCCCTGACGCGGTCCGCGCGGGGGGCTTTGTGAGGGACGCAGGCTGCCGCCCAATCAGACAGGCCGCGGCCAGGTTATGGTGCCTTGGGCAGTCGAGGTTCCGCACTCTCGCCTCCGGCCTGTCTGGTCCGCGATTCGCCTCTCCTCGTGTGCTTCCCTGCCGTGCGAGGTGTCACATGTACAGCCGCGCACATGTATTCAAGATTCGGATCGCACGCGTCGCCCAAGAGCGGCGTTGGTGGCCGTGCAATGTTCACGACCACACTCCTGCGGCCGTCCATTAAGAGACGGACCGCTGTGCGCAGGCGCGCCAGGTTGCGATCGAAGGGTTTCGCCAGGGCATCTTGGCAGGCGGCTTTGTCATGAGGAGGTCTCCTACTCCTGCTGGTGCTGCTGCTGCTGCTGCCCCTCTCAGCACACACCACGCGGGGTCCGAATGCCGCTCTCGAGGTGTGACCCGGGACAGCGGGCACGAGGAGCACGAACAGCCCTGGCTTCTGAGGGGTACCCCCGTGCTCTTCGTGTTTGGGCTTTGCACTTGCGAGTGTTCCTCGTGTCGGGCATCTCCATGGGGTTTTGCGCCGTCGGCGAAGGGGCTCCTGCTCTTGACCTGCCCTCTTTGGGCCATGCTTCGCCTGCAGTGGGGCTCTCTTTTTCCAGAGCGGGGGCGTTTCCGAGCTGTGCTGCGCAGGACTCCCCAGCGTCGCGCGCCGCAGCCGCGCCCCGCCGACTGCGGCAGCACCGCGCCCCTCCCCGCGAGCGACGCGTCCCTCTCCTCCCCGAGCCGGGCCCGAGCTCCGCCCGCGGTGGCGGCGCCGCCACATCACAGGCGGTGCGTGACCCAGAGCATCGACTGCTCTGCTCCACGTGCCCCCCCCCCCCCCTCCGCGCCCTGCGCTCCCGCCACCACGCGCCATGCCCTGCGGCTCCCCAGCGGGGCGCGCACGACTCCAGCGCTCGCCTCTCGCTTGGCCCTGCCGCGCCAGCACCCGTGGCCTCAGCTCACCGTGCTCGAAGCGTCCGCTGTAACACACGCTGCGCGCTGGCTCGGCGCGTGTTCAGCGTTGGTCCACGTTTTGGCGAGCGCATCGCGCCGGACCAACGTTTTCAGTGTAAGTGTTGAGCTCCGTGTCAACACGCTACGGGTTGCGTGTTGCGCATCGGGGCAGCTTCGTCGTCGTCGGCGTCGTCGACGTCGTCGTCGTCGGCGTCGGCGTCGGCGTCGGCGTCGGCGTCGGCGTCGGTCGTCGTCGTCGCCGTCATCGTTGTCGCCGTCGTCGTCGTAGGCGTCGTCGTCGTCGTCGTCGTCGTCGTCGTCGTCGTCGGCGTCGGCGTCGGCGTCGGCGTCGGCGTCGGCGTCGTCGTAAGCCCACGGCCGCCGGACCCGCCAGCGCCAGCCGCCCGTGCCCGAGGCCGTCCTCGCTGCCGCAGGCCGTGGCGCGGCGCTCGCTGCGGCAGCGCGCCAGCGAGGGAGGCCCTGCGCGCGGCGGCCGCCGCCGAGGCGTGCGCGGCCTCGGCGCGGGGCGCTCGCCGCCGGCGCCGCGGGCGCAGCTGCGCGCCGCCGCGCCAACGCGGCGGCGCGCTCTGCCGCGCGCCGGGCGCCGCGCGGCGTGCGCGGCGCCGCGCGGCCGCCGCGCTCCGGGCCACGGCGGCCGCAGGCGTCGGGCGGCAGCGCCGACGTCGCAGCCGACCGACGCCGTCGCCGCTCCGCGCTGTCGCCCGCGCAGTGCGCGCGTCCGCTCGCGCGCAGTGCGCGCGAGCGTGCGCGCGGGTTCCGCGCTCGGCCGCGTGCCGACCCAGGTCTCCAGCGTCTCGAGACGCCCGAGGCGGAGTTTTTTTTTGCTTTCTCCGGATTTCGGCCTCTGGGGGCCCTCGCTGGGCTCGGGGGCCGGGATGAAGAGCCGGCCCTGGGGAAGAGGTCCCGGACCTCAAGGGGGCCCCGTAGGGAGAGAAGCTCAGGGCATCGGATGCCTGGGGAGGGCGCCCGCGGCTCGGAGGCGCTCGCCGCCGCGGCGTGGGGTCGGGCCGCTTCTCCACAGCCGTGCGAGGCACCGCTGGCCTTCAGTCGGGCCTGTCCCCCTACAGGAGGAATCTTCAAAAATAGTCGAAAATAGTCAGGGGACGATTTTTTGAGCATTTGTTTTTTCAGTGTGAATATTTCGTCAAGTATTTTTTATTTTTCGTCGAAAATCCCCCTGTAGGAGGACATGCCCGACCTAACGCTGGCCGTGGTGCCAGCAGGGTGTGTTCGGCGGCTGGCGAGGGGGGGAAGCGAGAAGGAGAAGACCTTCTCAGAAGGCGGCCGGACTTCGCAGAAGCTCTCGCGCCCTGTGCGAAGATTTCAGTGTCTTCGCGGAAGGCTCAGAAGACTTCTCGGAAGGCCGTGGGACTCTCGAGCCTTCTGAGAAGGCCAGCCCCTTCTCACTTCCCCCCTGCGCTCGCCGCCAGTATATACGGTCAGGAACTCTTGCCCAGCGTGCCGCGCCGCCGCTTCTGGCCCACCACGCTGTGGCGCAGCACGCAACCCGCGCGGCGGCCCGACCCGCCATCCGCTTGCCGACCGAATCTGCTGGGCGTGAAGGCCTGGCCAATCCTGGCTCCTCCTCCTCCTCCCCCTCCTCCTCCTCCTCCTCCGCCTCCGCCCCCTCCTCCCCCCCCCTCCTCCTCCTCCTCCTCCTCCTCCTCCTCCTCCTCCTCCTCCTCCTCCTCCTCCTCCTCCTCCTCCTCCTCCTCCTCCTCCTCCTCCTCCGCCCCCTCCTCCCCCCCTCCTCCTCCTCCTCCTCCTCCTCCTCCCTCCTCCTCCTCCCTCCCTCCTCCTCCTCCCCCCTCCTCCTCCTCCTCCTCCTCCTCCTCCTCCTCCTCCCTCCTCCTCCTCCTCCTCCTCCTCCTCCTCTTCCTCCTCCTCCTCCGCCCCCTCCTCCCCCCCCTCCTCCTCCTCCTCCTCCTCCTCCTCCTCCTCCTCCTCCTCCTCCTCCTCCTCCTCCTCTCCTCCTCCTCCTCCTCCTCCTCCCCCTCCTCCTCCTCCTCCCCTCCTCCTCCTCCTCCCCTCCTCCTCCTCCTCTCCTCCTCCTCCTCCTCCTCCTCCTCCCCCTCCTCCCCCCCCTCCTCCTCCTCCTCCTCCTCCTCCTCCTCCTCCTCCTCCTCCTCCTCCTCCTCCTCCTCCTCCTCCTCCTCCTCCTCCTCCTCCCCTCTCTCCTCCTCCTCCCTCCTCCTCCTCCTCCTCCTCCTCCTCCTCCTCCTCCTCCTCCTCCTCCTCCTCCTCCTCCTCCTCCTCCTCCTCCTCCTCCTCCTCCCCCTCCTCCCCCTCCTCCTCCTCCTCCTCCTCCTCCTCCTCCTCCTCCTCCTCCTGGGGGGGTGCGAAGGGGCGCCGCAGGCACGTCCTGGACCAGGCCGCAGTCGTTGGGCCCGCTCGCCGCCTCTTGCGGCTCCCACTCCTGCGGCTCTTGGCTCACGCCTGGGCCGTGCGCGCTTGCCTCCCCGTCTCGCTTTTGGCCAGGGGGGGCCTCCTCGTTGTCCTCCTCGTCAGAGTCCAGCAACATATGTACGCGTACGCGGTTCGCTTCCCCTGGAGGGCGTTTGAACGAGGACGTTCTTGCATGCAAGACCGCGGAGGGCGTACGTGTACACATGTCGTTGCTCGCTCGCCTCGTCCTCCGTGGCCGGGCTGAGTGGGTAGGGGTGTCACGAGCGGGCCTGGCCTGGCCAGGCGCTCCCAGGCGCTCCCGGGCGCTCGCAAGCGCTCCCAGGCGCTCCCAGGCGCTCCCAAGTGAAGTTCATCCTTCCAGTCCATTTTGGCGCAAGAGCTTGGCTGGCTCGAGCCGTCCGCTCCGCTGCGCCGCGCTCTGTCGCGAGAGCTTGCGTGGCAGCCCTCCGGATGCTGCGAGTCACGCTCGTCGCCTGCCTCGGCTTCGCCGCTGCACAGACCGACACACCGCTGCACACTGCAGCCCGCGCGGACGACGCTGGAAAGGTCGAGGCGCTGATCGCCGAGGCTGCCGAGCTCAATGCTCTGGGCCAAGGAGGCCAGACGCCGCTCATGGCCGCGGTTCTCGGAGGTGCGACAAATGCCGTCAAGGTGCTCCTCGCAAAGGGAGCAGACACGTCTGTCGGCGAAAAGGACGGGTACACGCCCTTCCACGGCGCCGGCTTCCAGGGCCGCGCCGAGATCGCGAAGCTCCTGAAGGCCCATGGCCTGGACCCGCTGGACACGCACAGCGATGGCTACATTGGCATGCACCGCGCTTGCTGGGGTAAGGAGCAGCGTCACACGGACACCGTCCGCGCCTTCCTCAAGATGGGTGTTGACGCAGAGTACAAGGCTGGAAACGGCAAAACCTGTCTGGAAATGACATCCAATGCGGCCACAAAGGACTTTGTTCAGGGCTGGATTGACCGGAAGAAGAAGAAGAAGGCCGCGGAACTCTGAGGTGATCTTTCGTTGCGCATCCCTTTGGATTAATTTAGGTGTTACTTCTTGGCAGTGTGATGTGTGTCAGGCATGGCTGAATCGTGCCGTTTTGACGCTTGCCGCTACGGCAGGTGAGGGGGTCTCCGAAGGTGGCTGTTGGATCAGACATCGAAATCGTCTCGTCCAACCCTCTCTTCTTATCCGAGGTGCTCATTCTCCACAAGGGTCCCTACGAGGCGTGATGTGGCCGGGCGAGAAGCGAGTTCCTGGGACGGGGTCGCGAGGTCGTGGGGGGCACGCAGTGGAGATAACACACCGTCGGATGTTTGAACCCCGTGCATCTTTGGCAGGACGAGGTCCGTCCAGTGGCAATCGTCGCGGGCGGAAAACATGCACGTGTCCACGGGCTCGCGGGCTGGTCCCCTGGGCTGCGACCCTGCGGATACGGGACGTTTTTCCCCAACCTTGCGGAGGGATCCCTGTCTAGAGTTCCTCGGGGGGGGTCTGGGGAGACCTCCCGGGACATAGCCCAGGCCACTGGCGGAACGCCAGCGGGAACCCTTTGGAAGACGACCGCTGTCGGCCCCATTCCGGCAGGCGCGTTTCTGGGCGGCCCGGACAGCCCCATGATGGTCCGCAAGATGGTCCAAGGGGGCCATGATTCGCCGAAAGATCGGTCCAAGCCGCCCAAGATGGCTTCAAGAAATCCAAGAAGCCTCAAAGAGGCCTCCAGAAGGGCCTCCAAGAGTGCTCAGAGAGGCAAGCATCATTCATTTCCAGGAGTTTTTCTATGTTTCTCGCGTTTTCGCTTTTCCGGCTTCCCGAAGCTCCCAGACGGGCCCAAGAGGCCCCGAAGGTCGCCTCAAGACGGCCGAAGAGGCTCCCAAGAGGGCGCCTTCACGGCCCAAGAGGCCGCCCAGACGGCCCAGGAGGCCTGCAAGCAAGACGGCCCAAGAAGGCCCCAGCAGTGCCCCAAGAGGGGCCCCCGATGGGGAACACGGACCAACATTTCTAGCTGTTCGCCCGAATAGACCCCCAGGAAGCCCCAAAAGGCCCCCAAGACACTCCAAGTAGCGTCCAAGAGTCCCGCAGGAAGCCCCCAGAGGCCCCCAGGGGAGCCCCAAAACTGCCGAAGAGAACACCAGAAGGCCCCAGGAGACTTCAACACGGCCGGAGACGTCCTTAGTACAACGCTCGCACGGTCCGCATACGGCCCCAGCAGGCTGCAAGCTGTCTAACCTTGTCACAATACTGCCGGAGATGTCCCCGACACGACCCCCGACGATACCCGAGGGTCCCTAGGAGCTTCAAAAGCCCCCAACCTCCATTCTCTCGCCCGCTCTGTGAACCTGTGCCCCTCCCTTTGCTGGTGGCTCGCATGGACGCGTGCTGAGCTCACCTCTTGGCTCGCATCGTCGCGTGCTGCGCTCCCCCCCGAGGCGCACCGTTGTTATGTCCTGGCCGCCTGCTCCCTCGGACGTCTTTGCCCGGGACTTCCGCCACATGACCCCCGGACAGTTCTGCTCGACACCCAGCCCGCAGTTGCACCCAGAACGGCTCCAAGACTGCCCAGGAGAACCCCAGGAGGTCCCCAGGAGGCCCCCCACACGGCCAGAGAGGTGTCCTCAAGACAGCTCCCGCGCGGTCCGCACGCGGCCCCAGCAGGCCGCAAGCTGTCCAACCTCGGCACGATACGGCGGGAGACGTCCCCGACACCACCCCCGACGATACCCGAGGGCCCCCAGGAGCCTCTAAAGCTCAAGCTCCCTTTCTCTCGCCCGCCATGTGAGAGCTCATCCAGGAGGGAAGAAGACACACAGACACCATTCATCCTGTTATCTGTGTGTATTTATTTGTGTGCCCCAGGGCCCCTTCACTCATGCCCTCCCCTCTGCCGGTGGCTCGCACGGAGAGACGCGCTGAGCTCACCTCGTGGCTCGCACGGTCGCGTGCCGAGCTCGCCCCCGAGGCGCACCGTCGCTCGCACGACCCGCTGGCGGCCCTGGAAGGGAGCACGGGCCGAGCTTGCCAGCCTTCCGCCCAGAGAAACCCCCGGGAGGCCCCCAAAAGACCCCCGAAGGGGCTCCAAGAGGCGTCCAAGAGGCCCACAGGAGGCCCCCAGAGGCTCCCAGGACCCCAGGAGGCGTGCAGAAGGGCCCCAAGACTTCCCGAGAGGGCCCCAGGAGGGCTAGACACGCCCAGACGAAGCGTCACAGCGTCAAACGAGTACCCCAGGAACCAACGTAACGTGCTCCATATGCATCCTCTTCCTTGCTTTTCTCTTTCTCGCAAGTCACCCCCAGTTGGCCTCGAAGGTCGGGGTTCGTGGCAATATCATTTTCTAGGATGCCCCGGTCGGAGCTTATCCATGCGACCGCGTACCCACGGGATCCCGTCCCGGAATCCAGATCGCGATGGTGTGGATGTCGTTCTGTTCGCCGCTCGTGACAGCGTCCTCTGCCCAGCAGCGGCCGCTGTCCATTTTGGACAACGTTTGCTGTTGCGCGTCGCCCCCTCGGTGCTGCCCCCATGCGAGGCATTCAAGAGGCCCTCGCTTTCGAGGTTCGGAGGGGTTGATCCGCCTTCCTCGGCGGAAGGCGGCGGAATGTCGGCGGAGGGCGGCGGAAGTAGGACGAGGCCACCTGCGCCGGCGGAGGCCGGCCGAAGGCCGGCGGAGGCCGGCGCGGAAGTTGAAGTCGGCTTCCCGAGAGATGGCAAGGTCTTCGGTTCAGGGATTTTCTGGCCCGCCATGTCGGGCGTGCCAACCATTCGCTCGCCAGCAGGAGGCCAACTTAGGCAGCTGCCGGCGGCGCGTAAGAGAGGGGTCAGGGCGAGGGTTTCGCGCCCTCTCTGAAGGCACCCCGCCTCTCGGGAGCTCTCGCGCCGCCCAAGAAACCCTCGGAGAAGCTGCCAGGGAGGGACGTGCCCATCTCGGAAACCCGCTGTCTTCTTAGAGGGCCGCTCCTCAGCCTTCCCCCTTTCGGCGTGCGGCCAAATATGATGATGCTGATGATGATGCTGATGCTGATGCTGCTGCTGATGATGATGATGCTGATGATGATGATGATGCTGATGATGCTGATGATGATGATGGTGATGTTGATGATGGTGATGATGATGCTGATGATGATGATGTTGATGATGGTGCTGATGCTGATGATGCTGATGATGCATATGACGATGATAAAGATGCTGATGCTGCTGATGCTTATGGCTTATGCTGATGCTGATGCTGATGCTGCTGCTGCTGCTGATGCTGATGCTGCTGATGACGATGGTGGTGGTGGTGATGATGGTGATGATGATGATGATGCTAAGGATGATGGTGATGATGATTATGATCCTGAGCCTGCGTCTGCTGCTGCTCATGGTTATGAGGATGATGATGGTAGTGATGCTGATGTTGATGATGATGGTGTTGATGATGATGGTGGTGTTGCTGCTGCTGCTGATGATGATGACCATGCTGCTGATGATGACGCTGCTGATGATAATCAACATCAATATGATGATGACAATGAACATCAATATGATGACGACCATGCTGCTGATGCTGATGCTGCTGACTATGGTGATGATGCTGATGACGATGACGATGATGATGTTGTTGATGATGATGACGATGATGGTGGTGATGATGATGGTGGTAATGATGAGGATGGTGATGTTGATGATGATGGTAATGATGATGCTGCGGATGATGATGCGGATGATGCTGCTGTTGCTGATGACGACGATGATAATGATGATGATGATGATGATGATGATGATGATGATGATGATGATGATGATGATGATGATGATGATGATGATGATGATGATGATGGTGATGATGTTGTTGATGATGATGATGGTGATGATGATGATGATGATGATGATGATGATGATGATGATGATGATGATGATGATGATGATGATGATGATGATGATGATGATGATGATGATGATGATGAGTGATGGAGGAGGAGGTGGAGGATGAGAAGGAGGAGGTGGTGCAGGAGGATTAGAAGGAGGAGGAGGAGGAGGAGGAACAGGATGAGAAGGAGGAGGATCAGGATGAGGATGAGGAGGAGGGCGACGGCGACAATGACGACGAGCTTTGTGGACGTTGTTTGTAGGGAGGAGGGGGAGCGATCAAGAGTGAAGAGGAAGAGGAGGATGAGGAGGAGGAGGAGGAGTAGGAGGAGGAAGAGGGGAATCAGAAGAAGAGGAGGAGGAGGAGGAGGAGAAGGAGGAGCAGGAAGAGGAGGAGGAGGAGGCGGCCATAACTGTCCCTTTGCCCCGATGTCAGGAGGATCCCCTCGCCTCGATTTCATCGTCGCTGGGGGGAACCTCCAGGAAGTGGCTGGCGTGGGCCGGCAGCCCCACTTGCGAGCAGCAGTTACAGCCACTCGGCGAGCTCCATGAGCTTGGCAGCGACCTGGCGGCCTCGTTCGAAGAGGAGAGAACGGCTTGCGCATGCACTTCTGGAGCTCCGCGCTGATCTCTTGAGCGCTGGACTCCCCGGCGGCGCCTCGGACGCCGACCCCGGCGCGCTCCGCTCGCCAGGGAGGGGGGTCCAGCGCCCATCCAAGAGAGCCGCGCGGGCCTCGGAGAGTTTGTGCTCATGCCGCTTCTTCTTCTTCTTCTTCTACTTATACTTATACTTATACTTGTCATTTTTCATTCTTTTCCCCTTCTTCTCCTTCTTCTTCTCCTTCTTCTGTTCCTTCTTCTTATTATTATGATTGTTAATTGTTTTCTTCTTCTTCTTCTTCCCTCTGCCTCCACCGCTCCGCACGCTCGAGGTCCTGCAGGCCTCGTCTTCCAGGGGCACGGGTCGCTGCCCGGCGCTCCCGCTGCCTGGTCGGCTCGGCGCGGTCTTCTGGCCTCGCCTGGACGTCTTTGCTCGCAGAGTGTGGCCACCTGGGAGCGACAATCGGGTCAGCATGCTTCTGGAGCCGGCCCCACCGAAGGGGCCGCGATTCAACGAGGGGACGTCGTTGCTTGTCAGAAGCAGCCCAGCCTGCGCACGATGCTGTCGTGAGCCCCGCCCCCCCCGCCCTAGACACGTGAATTTTGTTGGCCCCCTTGGTGGTGCCCACCCCCCATCGCGCCACCCCAACGCTGGACTCCCTTATGGGGAGAGTTGTCATTGTGCAGAAGCCTGGGGGAGACCCCCTTGGTTTTGTTCTTGTTTGCTCGGAGTTTCGTTGACGAATCCCGTGCAGTACACAAGGAAGGCGCCAGTTTCCAATGGAAGACCATGAGTATGCTTGCTCTGCCGCCTCTTGTCCTCCTCCCCCGTCCTCCCTCCCTCCTCCCTCCTCCCTCCTCCTCAGGAGGAGGAGGAGGGTTGGTTTGTGGGCGGGAAAGGGAGGAGGCGGGAGGGGAGGGAGGAGTAGTGAGGGAGAGGCAAGGGCAGGAACGGAAGTGAGGGAAACGGAGGGAGGAGTTGAGAGAGGGAGGGGTGGAGGGAGGGGGAGGCAAGGGGAGAAAGGGTACCCCACCTTTAAACCTTCTCACTCGCATCTCGCTGGCCCAGGGACAAGTTTTTGCATCCTTCGACTCTGGGCATCCTTTGCATTCTGCTCCCCTCGGTCTAAGGGTACTCGTGCATCTTGGCGCGTTCTTGTCGCCTTGCATCCTTACACTCCATGCGGTTGATGTTTGCAGATCTCCAGCCCCGTTGAGACGGCCTCCAATTGGAAGGAGGGGCCCGCAGCCATTTTGGCTTAAACCACTGGTCCGAGGCCGCGTGGGAGGCCAGACCCTGCGTCGCCCCGCCGGCGCCATCTGCGGCATTTCTCGGCCAGACTAGAGGCCGCCGCGAGCATGGGCCCAGCTATCCAGGACAGGCAGGAGGGGAAAAAACACACAGACACAATGAATCGTCGATCCCCTCAGAAAATATGGGAAAACATGGGAATTGGGCGGGAAGACAAAAAACCAGAAAATATAAGAAAATATGGGGAATTCTTTTATTTGTGTGTATTTATTTGTGTGTCCTGGGGCCCCTTCAGACAGGCAGGGCGCTCCAGAAGCGGCAAAGGCGGGCGGGAAGCTGGCGGAAGCAACATCGGGGCAGCTCCGCTCCCGAAAGGCCTGCCGAAGCCGGGAGCAGACGCTGCCCCCGCCCCCCCCACCCCCAGAGGGACGTCAGCTTTTTGCGGTCCTGGCCCCCCCCCCGGAGTGGGACGGGTACGGCTCGCGTGGTGTCGACGCGGCGGCGAGCTCGTCACTGGTGTTCAAAGTTGAAGCCGCCAGTGGCCCAGAATCGGCCAATCTAGAACGATCTTATCTTTTGGTCGCAGATCATGGGGGCCTTGCGTACCCCCGTAATTCTGTCTTCAGGGTGCACTAGCGTCGATTAGCCTCTGGCGATCGATGGGATAGTGCCGATTTAGCGCCGATCAGCGTCGATGAGCGTCGATTAGCGTCGACTCAGCGTCGATTAGTGTCGATTCGGCGTCTCTTAGCGCCGAGGAGCGTCGATTCGCAAGAGCCAACAAGGTGGTATGGGAGTCTCCCATGAGTTGCTGCCGAGCAATCTGGCGATCGCATCGCCGTCGCCGTCGCCGCTGCCGCCGCCGCCGTCGTCGCCGTCGCCGCCGCCGCCGTCGCCGTCGTCGTCGTCGCCGTCGACGTCGTCGCCGTCGTCATGGTCGTCGTGGCGGTGGTGGTGGTGATAATCGTCGTCGTCGTTTTCGTCGTCGCCGTCGTCGCCGTCTTCTGGGGGCGGTCCGCTGCCTTCCTCGGGCCTGTGGCCCCCCTGCGGGGGGGGGGCGGCGTCCGAGGCTCTGGCCTCCGTGCGCGCACGGGGCAGCCTGCGAACAGCGGGGCACTGGCGGCCGTCGGGACCCAGGACGCTCGGCAAGAGCGCACTTTCTCCCTCGCCCCCGCGGCCAACCCGAGAAATCCGCCTGGACCTCCAACGACTGGAGGAGGGCTCGACTGGGGGAAAAAACGTCGACCTGGAATCGGCAATGCATCCCCGATAGATCGGCGCTGGGCCCCGACAGCGAATCCGAACGTTCCTGGTGCTCTCTGTCCAGAGCTTCGAGGCGAATCCAGCGGTGGCGACGAAGGCCTCCGCTTCCTCCTCCCCCCCCTGGCAGCGTGCTGTCGCTCTGGCAGTGCTGGCCGACAGGGCGGCGAGTCCGCTGAGGGCCACCCGCGGTGCGAGCGCGCCGTCGCCCCCCTCCTCCTCTATTCCTTTCTGTCGTCGCTGTCCGTGTCCTCCTTCCTCTTCCTCCTGTGGATTGTGGCCGTTTCTCCTTCCCCCGGCTCTGGCTGGGCAGCCACAAGGGTTGCAAGTGGGGTATTGTTTGATCTAAGATTTGACTGCGCGTTTGTGCCTGGCCGCCGTCTGTGACAGCGGATGATGTCCTCGGGTGTTATGCGATGCATAACCCCTCGCCAGCAGTACGGCGTATACGTTACCGTGAATTTTGGCACTGTTCCAGCGTGCGCCTTTGTGCCTTCCTTCTCCTCCTGCTCCTCCTTCCCCTCCTCGTGCTCCTCCTCCGTCTCCTCCTCCTCCTCCTCCTCCTCCTCCTCCTCTTCCCTTCGTTGTGAACGGCGCGTGATCGCCTGTGCCCATGCCCGGTGCCCCAGGATGCACCGTGTTTCAATTCCTCGCGATTTCTTCTCTCAGTCTTGAACCTACCGCCGCACAGTGACTATCCATATGCGCCATCGCTCGCAGGACAGCTCACCTATAGGTGGTTGGACGCTTCATTTGCACGGCGTTTGAGGCAGCTCACTGGCTGCCCGTTTACGTCGCAGAGCGTGTCATCAAGTCAAGTCAGGCCAGGCGCCCAAACAGCGCATAGGCAAGTCCGGCGGCTACGAGTGCGCCACACGCGTCTGCGATGCAGTCCGCCAAACGCGCTGCCATCTGAAGGGGAGGACGAGGGAGGGAGGCAACTCTATTGGGATAGCACGTGCTGATATACAGAAGGTGCCCAGAGCGTGTCATCGTGCCAAAAAAAAAAAGAAGAGCGATCTGGCGATCGAAGAACGCCGATCGTTCCAGGCGGAGCGCGAGCCGCGCGCGGTGTGTCAGAAAGCCAAAGGTCGGGGGGTCGTCACGGCGCGAACACTTGCCGTATGGAGAGCGAGGGGTGCGTCTCCACCACCTCGCATTAAGTCGGCCTTGTCCCCCTATAGGAGGAGTATTCGAAAATAGTCAAACACAAATCCAGGGACGATTCTTTTGGTATTTTTGAATATGTTGTGGGCATTTTTTCGGTATGTTCTATTAGTCGTCAAAAATCCGCCTGTCGGGGGACAGGCCCGACCTAAACCTAGCAGGCTCTCCACCAAAGGACCCCGGCGTCGGCGACAGATCAGGGCGTACGTTCTTGTGGAGTCTGGTTTCTGCTTCCTTTTCCAGGAGGAGCCTCCGCTCAAGAAGGCGAAGACGAACGAGAGCCTGGTGTCGTCTGCCGACGCCACCGCCGTCAAGGACGCCGTGAAGGCGGACAACAAGGAGAACAAGGAAAAAAAAGAGAAGAACGGCGAAAAGAAAGAGAAGAAGGACAAAAAAGACAAGGAGAAAAAGGATAAGAAGGAGAAGGATGGTAAGGATGCGCTCGATGGCGCAAAGGAGAAGAAAGAAAAGAAGGATAAAAGTGAGAAGAAGGAAAAGGATGCTGCTGCAGTCGGTCTAGCCAACGGGGGCGAAGTGAAGGAGAAAAAAGACAAGAAGGAAAAGAAAGACAAGAAAGACAAGAAAGACAAGAAGGACAAGAAGGAGAAGAAGAAAGACAAAAAAGACAAGAAAGACAAAAAGGAGAAGAAGGACAAAAAAGACAAGAAAGCAATCAAAGACAAACTCAGACTCAAGCCGGGAAAGCTATCACCACAGTCATCTCAAAAAAAAATGGTGATGAAGACGATGTTGAAGCATAAGATCGGAAAGCTCGCCAAGGCTAAGGCGGCCGCACCGGCTCCAACAAAGATCGTCACCAAGACTGAGGAAGACTACGAGCCAGTGAACAGATGGTGGGAGCTGGCGGATGGCGCGGCCAGTGGCAAGCGCGGCGCCAAGAAGTGGGACACCTTCGAGCACCACGGCCTGATGTTCGCACCTGACTATGAGCCTCACGGGGTTCCGATCAAGTATGACGGTAAGGAGATCAAGCTTACTGGTGAGGCAGAGGAGATCGCCACCTATTGGTGTGGGGTCAAAGGAACTGATTATGAAAAGAAGGACCTGTTCATTAATAATTTCTGGGGCGTGTGGAAGGCGGCGCTGGGGAACGACTCGCCGATCAAGGAGCTGAAGAAGTGTGACTTCGGCAACATTGTTGCCCACCTGGAGGAGCAGAGGAGGAAAAAGAGAGAAATGAGCAAGGAGGAAAAAGAGAAGATCTCCAAGGAAAACAACAAGAAGAAGGAGTGGTTCTCGCACGCCCTGGTGAACAACATCAGGGAGAAGCTTGGCGCTGTAGCCATGGAGCCGCCGCAGCTTTTCAGGGGGCGCGGGGAGCATCCGAAGCAGGGCCTGCTGAAGCGGAGGACTTTCCCGGAGGCTTGTGTACTCAACATCGGTGAGATGGCGCCAGTGCCAAAGGTGGTAGGTCTCCCCGGGCACGCCTGGAAGGACGTGGTTCACGAGAACACAGTGCAGTGGATCGCCGCTTTCGACGACGCGCTGCTAGGCGAGACAAAGTACGTCAGCTTCGCCGCCACCAGTGGCCTCAAGGGCCAGCCCGACATGCTGAAGTACGACCGTGCCCGCAGGCTGCTGGGCGTCATCGACAAGGTGCGCAACAGCTACGAGAAGCTGCAGAAGAGCAGCAACGTGGCCGAGCAGCAGAAGGCCAGAGAGCAGTGATGGGCCTGGCCGAGTGCTCGAAGCCCAGGGGGGCCCCGCTGGCCGGTCTCGGGGGGACTCCGGGGGTGCCCTCTGCGGCCCTCGGGGCACGTCTCCGGGCTGCTGGGGAAGTCCCGGAGGGGCCGGGGAGTCCGAGCGAGGGGGGTCCCGAGGGCCCAGGGAGTCCAGGGAGTCTGGGGAGGCAGGAGCGTTTGGAGAGCCTGGTGGGGGATCGGGGGGGTCCGGGGACCCTGGGGCCTCGAGGTGGGCTCCAGGGCTCGAGCTACAGGGTGTTTGGCGACTGCGCGGGCCGCTTTCGTTCTTAGTTCGCCTCGCAGCAGATGTAGAAAGAAGACAGGACGAAGGAAAGCGATGACAGCACGAAAACGGAAAGCACTGTTTAGCTCGAGCCCTGGTGGGCCATGCCGTAGTGAAGGCTACCGCCACCTACTTCATAGACAAGCTGGCCCTGCGCGTGGGCGGGGAGAAGAACACCGAGGAGGAGGCCGATACTGTCGGGTGCTGCTCGCTCCGTGTGGAGCACCTGACGCTAGAGCCCCCGAACACCATACAGTTCGACTTCCTAGGCAAGGATTCTATCCGGTACTTCAACGCGGTGCAAGTGACGGACACGGTCTACAATAACGTCAGCAATTTCATGAAAGGCAAGAAGCCGACTGAGGACGTGTTCGACAAAGTCGACCCTTCCATTATCAACGAATATTTCAAGGAGTTCATGGACGATCTCACGGCGAAGGTCTTCCGAACTTTCAACGCGTCTTACACGCTGCAGCAAGAGCTCGATAAGTTCGATTATTCGAAGAAGGACCAGTTTGGGCAGGACCAGCTGGTCAAGTTCTACAACGACGCGAACAGATCGGTTGCGATCCTGTGTAATCACCAGAGGGCCGAGTCAAAGACTCACGGAGCGGCGATGGAGAAAATGCAGAAGCAGAAGGAGGACATAGAAAAGCAGATCAAGCTGCTAAAGAGACACATGGCGTCGCTGGAGAAGGGTGAGACCCCCAAGCCCGCAGAGAAGCCACTCCCGAGAGATATCATCGGGTGCAAGAAGAAGATCGCGGAAACAAAAATGAGATTGGAGAAGCACGTCTACGCAATGACCGAGAAGGAGGACAACAAGACTGTGTCTCTAGGCACGTCAAAAGTTAATTACATGGACCCGAGAATTACCGTCGCGTTCTGCAAGAAGGCAGATCTTGCGATCGAGAAGGTTCTGCAACCACATGCGAACCCTCTCTACACGTCCAAACGACACTGGGGTAGTCGATACCCCCGCAAGGGCCCACTGGACCGCAGACGTTTTCGAAGTCGGGCCCCCCGCGGGTTTTTCTGCTCCAGTGGCCTTCGGCCCATCCGCCACTGTGTCTGGAATATGGGTCATACGTCCCGCCCATCCCCCCCCCTAACCGCCACGCCACATTCCTCCATCCCGCTATCCATGCACACATTTAGGTGGGTGCCTGTGTTGTCCCAACGTGTTACTTGGCACTGCGTCGGGTCGTCCAGTCAAGACCACGATCGGGACCCTCGCGCCGTTGCGTGGCCGTTGCGTTTCATGGCTGTTGCATGCCGAAGGATTTGTGGATGCTTCCCTGGGGTCTCACCGGGGATCTGCCGGGAGCTTCTCGGGGCCCTCTTTAGGAGAGTTTTTCGGGGGCTTCTGGGGAGGCTTTCGGGGCGCCTGTCGGGGGTCGTGTGGCCGTCTCGGGGGGGAGGGACGGGTGTATTTCTAGCATGTGTTCCTGGGATCCGTTCGTTGATCTCGTCGCGGGCCTCCTCGGGGCTCCCTGGGAGCCATTGGGAAGCCTTTTCGGAGATTGTATGGGGATCTTTTGGGCCTTCCGGGGCTCCTCTCGGAATCCTCTTAGCCTCTGAGTCCTAGAAGGCGAGAAGGGCGACACTGTTGGAACCTGATCGTTTGTTGATCCGTGGGCCTCTGGGAAGCCTCCTTGGGAGGCTCTGAGGCTACGTGGAGCCATCCTGGGGCAATCTTGGGACCACTGGGGGCCATTCTGAAGGCCATGTTCAGCCACGCGTGGACGTCCTGGAGGCTATCGTGGCCCATCCTTGAGCCATCTTGGGCCATATTGGGGGCTAGTGTTCAAAATTGTGTTCCTGGGTTCCAGAAACCAACATCAATCGCGCAGCAACTCCATGAATGGGCAACTTCGTTTCAACCAACTCATCGCAATAATGGGCTGCCAGAAACGAGTCTTAGGCGGTTTTCGCGAGGAAAGAAACGAAGGACCGGTATCGAAGCAGACAGGAGGGGGCACTAGTCAGGCCAAAACTAAGATCATCTTGGGCAACTTTCAACAATTGCTTGATTGGGGCACCCTGGGAGCTTCTCGGACGCCCTTAGTAGGCCTACTACAGCCGTTTTTCGATTTCCATGTTGAAATTGTCATTCTTATGCTGCCGCTGCTTGCCGACTCGTTGAGTCCACCAGCGAGGGCTTCAGGATCCCCCAGACTTGATTCCCGCAAAGCCCTAAGGGATGTCTGACCCATGTTGAGGCCATAGCGATTCCCGCATCGCGAGGGCCTCAGCGTCGCCCAAACATGATGCCCGCACAGTCCCGATGGATCTGCGGCACCCGTTGAGGCCACGTTGAGGCCCTGAGGGCGAGTGCCTGAGCATCACGTCTGCTTTGTTCCCGTAACCAGGTGTGATTCCCGCATGGCCCTGAGGGATATTTAGCCCACGTTGAAGCCATGTTGAAGCCATGTTGAGCCTCCCAGGTCAGGGCCTCAGGATCTCCTAGAAGTGATTCGCTCACAGACATGGGGGACTTCTGATCTGCATTGTGGTCCAGCCGATTCCTGGCAGTTTTTGACAGTTGAATGGTGCCCATGAATGCCTCAACGTGCACCATGTGTGGTAGCTCAGGGGAACCGCGGTGCACGCGGGTTACTCACCCACTCGCTCAAAAGTCATACGCCGCTCAGCAGGATCAGGTCGTCGATGAAGCATGATGGCGACGCTGGTCGCGGTCAGAACGCCTGTGACCAGCAATTCCCTCAGAGCTTACACCCAGATGCTCGCCAGCGTGGGTCCCAGACAGTGGGGCTTTTGCGCTCGAAGTGTACCCTGTTTGAACTCATGAGTTGTCAGCTCCACTGCTCACGCAATTATCCCACCCTACCATCCGCAACTCTTCACGCTTCACGTATCCCCACCAGCCGGCCAATTAGTATCGGCCGCAGCCCGACCGTTACTCGTCGCCGCTGGCGCTTCCGCCCGCGGCTGTAAATAAAAAAAGAGTATCCCCACCAGCTGAGTGTTGCAGCCTGGTACAGCCTGCGTCTAGCGCATCGTCGCTTCCACCCCGGGCCATTCGACGCAGGCGCCGGACTCGATGCGATGGGTGCCGCTGGCCTCCTCAACTCAGCGGTGGAGTTCGAGGGCTGCGCGCTGAGTGGTTCAGCCTTCCGCGTCTTTTGCATCTTGTTTTCCACCGCCGGCAGCCCGGTCTCCCGGGCTCGTGCTTCTTAGCTAGCCTGGCTGGCTGCTTGGAGTTTGGCGCCGCACGGGCGACTCACTCCGTTGCACTCGCACCCGCGGCCGCGTGTACACTTTGGTATACTGGGCGGCGCCTAGGTGCGTCTGCTGGTGAATGCAGAGCATTTTGTTCAGTGCATGTGCAACTGCACGCTTGTTGTGCAGGTGCGATCCGGCCTGCCAGCGTGGCGGTTGGCGTCGCCAATTCGCTTTGTGCCGCCCGCCCCGGACATTGCCTCTCGCCGCCAGACCGTTGTCGCACGGCCGCAGACCAAAAAAGTATCCCCACCAGCCCATTCAGAGACCCTGACCTTGAGAGCTCACGGGAAAAGGGACGAAGAGACTCATCTAGTGAGACAAAGCGAGCAACCAGGGTGAACAGGGAGACCTCTGGGAGCAAGGGAGTGGCCTTGGAAAGCTTCTTTGGGCCATCCCTGGGGGCCGCGTGGGGGGGTCTCGGAGCGCTTTTGGGGCCCTCTTGGGGCCCTCTTGGAGCTCTCTCGGGGCTCTCTTGGGGTCTTTTGGGAACCCTGGAAGGCCTCTTGGGGCTGTCGTGGAGGGTGTTGGTGAAAAGAAGGGGGGTACTAACGTGTAGTCCCCCCTTCCGGGCCATCAACATCGCATCTTGGGATGCTCTTGGCCCCCTCTTGGGTCGCTCTTGGGCAGTCTTGGGGCCGTCTTGGGGACATCTTGGGCCCCTCCTGGAGATCTCTTGGGCCAACTTGGGGCCACCTCGGTGCCTCAAAAACTCATCGGAAGCGAAACGGCGAAAAGGCAACCATCATTGATGTTTCTTTGGTTTTAAAGGGTTTAGGCTTCTCGGGGAGGACCTGATGGGGTCTTCGAGGGCACCTGGAACCATCTTGTGGCCCTCTTGCGGCGTCTCGGAGGCATGGTGGAGGTCATCTTGAGCGAACTTGCGCTATCTGGAGTCCCCTTGGAGGCCATCTTGGAGCATCGGATGCCCTCTTGAAGCCATCTTGAGCGAAAAAGGGCTCTCTGATGACTCGCGACACCCCCGTCCAGACCTCTGCGAGGGGAGGGGGAGGGTACCCCTCCCCGAAGGGAAGAGGGGTTTTGGAAGAGGAAACATCTTATCGTTAGACCACCTACGCCCAGAGGGGGATTTGTTTGGCAAAACCTATGCGGCGGCGATTGCGACGGCCGCTCTGCCCTGGCTGGTGCATCCCTGCGGCCAGGCTGGCGCGCGCAAGCTCGCGCGCAAACGGCCAGCTGGTTTGGCACATTCGGTGCGGCCGCGATGGCGCTCACCGGCGGCAACTTCTCAGCGCGCCTGAAGGGCCGCGTTGGCGCGCGGGCACTTCAATGCGGGTCGGATGCGGGTGGATGGCTCGGGCGGGCGTGGTAAGGTGATGACGTCGACACCGGCGGCAACGATGATGATAGTAGCCATGGTGGTGGCGATGTGATGATTACGACGGCAAGGCCAATGACTGCGCCGATTGTGGTATCGCATCGCTGGTGACGACGAAGATATCCATGTGTCGATGACCAAGGTGCCTGAATGAGGGCGGTGATGGCGGCGATTGCAGACGACGCTGACGAGGTGCGGCGGCGCTGGTGAGTGCGGTTGTGAGCAAGTGCGCGCTTGCGGGGACCCAAGAACCTGGGCAAACCTATTGAAATACATTGTGCTGGTCCACGCTGTTTGATGAGCTCTCCTCGCAACGGCGGCGCAGATGTGACGCCGTTGGCGGGTATGTGCCGCCGTTCATGTTGCGAGTTCCGACTGCATGTGAATGCATGCAGGCACCTTGGGCACCTTGGGCACCTTGGGCACCTTGGGCACCATGTGTTCTGTCCGGGCACAAAAGGTTTGAGGAGCTCGGGATTGAATAGCTTCGAGCGCCAACGGCTTTGGGCGGGTGTCGACACGTTGGCCCGGCGGCCCGCGCGTGTGGCCCGCACATGGCATCGGTTGGTGCGGGTGCGTGCGCGGAGCGCGTGCTGGTTCCACGCGGGTGCACCGCGTGGTGACATGTGAGCGCGGGTTCTGGGCGAGATTGCTACGTTCATGTAGTTTCCCGTGGATTTCATCAGCAGCTCGCGGGCAGACGTCTGAGGCAGTGTCTGCGATGAGCAGCTTGAGGGTTGTGTTGGTTTCGTGCGTGGATGTTGGCGTGTTTGCAACATTCGCGTGTGGAGTCTGATTTCGGTGTGTGCGCGTGTGGGCGTGAAACATTTTTTTAGCACTGCGCTTTTTGCGATGACCGAGCGTGCGCGCATAGTGTTGTTTGAGAGGGGTGAGAGGTGGTGGGTGCGATATCCGGCCTGCGTGGGATGGTCGGCACTTATACGGAGAATGACAGAGACGGCGGAACCATATGCAATTTGTCGATTCCTGGGGGGTGTCGATAACGCTAGAAAAGAGGTAGTGGGTGGTATAGATTGTTTTTCTTCTGGAAGGAGACCCTACGCGGAAAAACCCATCCAGTGGAATCTGTGTGATGCAATGTATGGGGTACCTTCCCGTGGTGCTATCAGTGGGAGGCAACCTGTATTGTTCAATTTGGGTGGTGAATATCAGTGATATGACATATGTGGTGAAATTGACTATGGAGAACTTGACCGTGTCAACTCCACTTCGCCCGCAAACGTCCCACCCTCCCACCCGCAATTCGTTTGGCAAAACCCATGCGGCCGCGATTGTGATGATTACTTGGCGCTGGCTGGCGCGTCTGTGCAGCTGCGCTAGCACGCGCTAGCTCGCGCGCAAACTGGCCAGCTGGTTTGGCACAACCAATGCCGCCGCGATAGCGTTTACCGATGGCAGATTCTCTGTGCGTCTCAAAGGCCGCACTGACGCGCGAGCATTTCAATGCAAGTCGGTGAATCGGGCGGGCGCCGTAACATGATGACGTCGACCGACAATCGCGTCAACGATGATAATGGTCGCGAAGGTGGTGGCGATGGTGACGATAACGATTGCAAGGCGAATGACGGCGCCGATGCTGGTGATGACGATGACGGTGATGATGTATCCATGTGTCGGTGATGAAGGTGATTGACTGGTAACGGCGGGAATGGCGGCGACTTGCGATTACGATGCGGGCGGTGATGCGGCGGCGCTGCTGAAGGTCATGGTCACGCGCGCGGAAATGTAAGTGACCTGGCGTATTTCATGTTGACATATATTTGTTGCCATATGCTTCTGAAGATCTCAATCTGGAATTGCTTCGAAAACCAGCGGTTTTGGACGGATTTCGACGCGCGCATGGCGGCGCGCGCATGTGGCTTGCGTGGCTCCATTAGATGTAGGATCCACGCGGATTGCACCATGTGGTGAGATGATAATGCTGGTTCTTGACGTTATCCGGATGATTTCAACATATGCGCACATACAGAGCATCTACGATATTTGAAATGAAATCGTACGTTTCAATGTAATCCGTTTTTCGGCTGAAGCGCTCGCAAACACAACGTATTTTGTATGATTTCGACATGTACGCGCGCGTGTGAGCATCGTGTAGTTTTTCCCCGGCAGAGGATTTTTAAACCACGTTTCTGTAATAGTACCGTGTGGGTGAGCGCACTGCGTATTAGTACGTGACTTGGATGAAGCGGTTTGGCCCATGATGACATGGGTTCAGTTGGAAAATGAACTGCGAGGCAGAATCACATGTCACGTGCAGCTTCCCAAAGGGAGCCCAATAACCTTGGCGCGGGGAAGGTGGTGGAGTTTCCTGTGAAGGCCTCACGGCTGGCGCCGCCGACCCTGAAGGCGAGACCTCCCCGGGGACCCCGGGGCCCCCTCCCGGGACCCTGGGGCCGGGGCCCGGGCCGGGGTCCCCAGGTCCGGGGCCGGGACCAGGGCCGGAGCTGGGCCGCGGCTGGGGCCCGGGCCAGGGTCGGGGTTGGGACCGGGGCCATGGTCGGGTCCTGGACCACCAGGGCCCCCCCCCCCCCCCCACCACCGGGGTAATCCCTTCCTGTCCCCCTTGTCCACAGGGGCCGTAATCTGACCCGGGATCTCCCCGCCCACGTACACCCCCCTGTGTCCCCCCTTCCTGCCCGCCCCCCGTCAGGGAAGGGAAAAAGGGAAGGGAATTGACTCAACTACGACGTTCATTTTTTCTTGTTCGTTCCTCAATTTCTTGGGAGTGGCGGCGACGACGACGACGAAGACGACTACGAAAACGACGACAGCGTTTCAGACACGCCAAAGGGTCGGCGGATTCTTCTTTGCAAACGACAATGGCTACAACTGATGCGGCCGCTATGGCGCTTACCGGCGGCAACTTCCCAGCGTTTCTCACCGTCCGCGCTTGTGCGCGGGCATTTCAGTGCTGGTCGTTGACCCGGGCGGGCGCGATATCATGATGACGTCGAGATCGGCGCCACTGATGGTGATAGCATCGACGTCTGTGGCGATGATGACGATGACGACGGCAGCGCTCATGACGGCGCCGATGCTGGTGACGACGATAACGATGATGTCCATGCGTCGGTGTTGAAGGTGATTATGCTGGTGATGGCGGCTATGGCGACGATTGACGATGACGATACTGCCGGTGATGCGATGGAGCTGATGAGGATGATAAGGAAGTTCGCGCGCAGCGAAAGTAAATAGCCACATCAGGCAGAATGAACAACTGTTTGGCTCACATCTGTGGTGAAGAGCATTATACTGAACTGCGCTGAACACCTATTGTTGTGAAAGGATTTCGACGCGCGCTCGTGGCGGCGCGCCTTATGGCCTGCATGGTATTCGTTGATGTTGCGTGCGCGTGTGTATGTGTTTGTGTGTTTCTGCACGTTTGTTTCAAACACGGCCTTTTGCAATGCACGCATGTGCATGCATGGTGTTCTCTGTCAGGGATGGACGGAGGGTGTCGATACCGGCTGGGCTGGGATGGTGTGAGTCAGCGGGTGGAACTAGCGATGATGCAGAGTCGCGTGTGAAGTGCAATGCCCCGGGGGGGGGGGGACGTCCAGGCTCGTGAGGGTGGCCGAGTCGGCTTCTCTTTCTGTGGCAGGGAGAACCCCTGGGCGGCCGGGCCGCGATGGGCGCCTACCGCGCGGAAGCTTGAAGAACTGCCAGCAAGCGCATCGGACGGCGACGAGGCGGTGACGAAGCGCCCCCCGCGCGACACCCCGCGATGGCCAGCCAGCGCGCCGAGGCGGCGACGAGGCGGCAGCGGGCGCCCACTGCGCGAGCGTCTGGACACGATGGGCGCCCTCCGTGCGAGCACCGTTTGGGGGGCCTTGGGGAAGACGACCGTGAAGCCTCGTCTGCCCCCCCGTGGAAGCCTTTCGGGCTTTCTCTCTCTCTCTCTCTCTCGGGGCGCTCTGGGGTCTCTCAGGCCTCTTTGGCGCTCCGGTGGTCATCTTGGAGGCAAGGGGCAACGGGTGAATTGTTGACCTTCGAGGACTGCCGGGGGTCTCTTCGGGTCGCTCGTCGGGTTCTCTGAGGCCATCTGAGGGCCATCTTGAGGCCCACAGAGGCCAATCATTTGTTCTTAAGCACTTCGTGTTCTTTTAAATTGGCCCCTCAGCGGCATCCTTTGGTTGTTCTGGCGACATCTCGAACCATCTTGTGGAGGTCTTGGGGGCTCTCGGAGGCACGCTGGAGGCCGTCTTGGGCCAACTTGGTCCACCTTGTAGCAATCTTGGACCACAACGGACCCTCCGACACCTCGCGCCCACCCGTCCAACCCCTTTGGGAGGACTTCCCAGTATTTAGGCAGGGGGAGGACTACCCCCTCCCTGAAGGGAAGGAATAGATGTCTCGGAAGAGCTGATCCAGGAAACCACGTACGCCTGGAGCGCTAGTGGGATTCGTGCTGGAGGGGCGCCTCTCTGCTAACCTGCGAGACTGCGGGTCAAGGTGGCGGAACAGTGGACTCGCAGGAGTAGGGTTCGCACGTTGTTGCCTGAAGGTGTTTCCGAGAACGGTGAGGACAAAATTCCCCTGGGCCATGCACTTCCCGTCCTCCTACGTGTTCGACTGACTCGGTGTGCGCCAGATGCGTTCCATAATGGACCCTCAAGCGCAATCCGTCCAGCTCTCGCGCGGAGGTCCCCTGGACAACGCCGAACACCCGCGGCTTACACTGGGCAGATGTACACCACCAGGCCATCCCTGGCCCGCATTGGACCAGATCTTGGTGGATGTCGGCTCCTGGCCAGGGCCTCCCTTGAGGCCACAGGCGCCAGGATCTGGCCCGAGCTGGCCAGAGCGGCGGTGTACGTCTCCAGGCCGCCTTGATGGGGTCCGAGCAGATGGTGTCGAAGGACCGCGCCGCATCGGCGATGCATCGGCGATGCGGCTCGATGTGGAGCCCGATGTTCTCCACGCCCACGGCGCCCATGCAACGCCGACACCGCCGTTGCCTCGCCGAGGCACAGGCGATGCGGCGCGATCCTCCGACCCCATCTACTCCAGATTTAGTAATAAAGGGAGGGGGGTCTCATTTCGGGGGGGGTCTCTTCAGGCTATCTTGGAGGGCCTGGGGGGGTCTGGGGACGATGTTTTGGAGGGTTCTCCCACGGGGGGGGGTCTGAAATGGCTTGTCTTGGAGGGTCCAGACCCCCTCCCTTTTATTACGAAATCTGGACTACTCGGACACAATTTAGCAGGCCTCCAATGTCTGGCGCTTCCTTGCGGAAGGTTCGCGCCGTGCTAGTGAGTTCCGCCAGTGCGCCAGTGACCTGGAATCGGCCGATACCTAACGATTTTGCGCTGACGGAAGGCCGTAACCGTTCTCAGGTTGGTTGCCGCCAGTGGCCTGGAACCAGCCGGCACTCAACGATTTGCCCTGACGGAGAGCCGCCCTTGTTCAAGCTTGGACCCGTCCACGTGGCGTCAGAAGCCAATGCCGACGCCATCGCGACGTGAACCTGCCGTTGGGGGGCAGCAAGGGGCCCATGATCGAACGTGTAAGATTCAGCGTCTCCTTTCGCGCCGCGCGGTACCGAGCAGCCCGTGGACGACACGAAAGGGGAATGTCGCCCAGGTCGGCATGGCGCAAACCGCTGGGATGGTGAGACTCGTATCCCCGTGGGGGAGGTGGAGGCGAAGGATTGAGGATAGAGTTGTTCTTTCTGCTTATCCTATCGCTTTGGGGTCTCTTGGGAGGCCCTCGTGGCCACGGATTAGATTCGCCTCGAAACTCGGGCCAGAACGCGCTCGAGGACAGGTTGGGAGATCGATTTTCAAGGCGGAGGAGGAAGAGATGAGAAGGAGGAAGAGGATGACGAAGAAGAAGAGGGTGGAGGAGGACGAGGAGGAGACAGAGAAGAAGATGGACGTGGAGGCAGGAGGACGAATATGAGGAGGAGGAGGAAGATGTGCAGCAAGAGCAGGATGAGGACCATCTATTAGACACAGGATGCGTCAGCGTTGCTGCAATACGCCGTTCCGCCCCGAGTCATCTCGGGAGTCCCCACAACTGTTCTCGCTTCACTGCCGGAGGCGCACCCCCCACGAGATGATGGGCCCACGGGCCTGTCGTTCGGGCGAGAGCCCGCTTTGAATCGGCGACGCCCTCCGTTTTTTGGTTTTTGTTTTCTTTGTTTTTTGTTTTTTTCCTTACCTAGGCTCTGCCTAGAAGGGTTCTTACTCTGTTGGCTTAAAGGGGCCGGGCAGTGGAAACCGCCCCGGGCGGTTCCCCCAGTCCCCTGGGAGCCAAGCAAAAGCAACAGCAAAGGTAAAAGCAAACGCGCGGTTCCCCCAGTTGCGCTCCCTGGCTCAAAAGCAAAAGTGAAGGCAAAAGTGATGGCAACATCGAAGACAAAGCGAAAGCATAGCATAGCACAGCATAGCCTAGCCTAGCCCAGCATAGCATTGCGCAGCATAGCATAGCATAGCAGAACATAGCATAGCAGAGCAGAGCAGAGCGCAGCATCTACTATTGCTGCGGACATATATATATATACTTATATGTATGTGTGTGCGCACATATGTTCCATGCATGCTGTCCGTCTGCATGTTGCTTTTGCTGCTGTCTCGGCGACTTGCTGCCTGCTTCTGCTGCTGCTTCACTTACGGCGTGGCGTCGGCGGTTCTGGCGCTAGTAGTACTACTACTACCACTACTACTACTACTACTACTACTACTACTACTACTACTACTACTACTACTACTACTACTACTACTACTACTACTACTACTACTACTACTACTACTACTACTACTACTACTACTACTACTACTACTACTACTACTACTACTACTACTACTACTACTACTACTACTACTACTACTACTACTACTACTACTACTACTACTACTACTACTACTACTACTACTACTACTACTACTACTACTACTACTACTACTACTACTACTACTACGACGACGACGACGACGACGACGACGACGACGACGACGACGACGACGACGACGACGACGACGACGACGACGACGACGACGACGACGACGACGACGACGACGACGACGACGACGACTACGACGACGACGACGACGACTACTACTACTACTACTGCTACTACTGCTACTACTACTACTACTACTACTACTACTACTACTACTACTACTACTACTACTACTACTACTACTACTACTACTACTACTGCTACTACTACTACTACTACTACTACTACTACTACTACTACTACTACTACTGCTACTACTACTACTACTACTACTACTACTACTACTACTACTACTACTACTACTACTACTACTACTACTACTACTACTACTACTACTACTACTACTACTACTACTACTACTACTACTACTACTACTACTACTACTACTACTACTACTACTACTACTACTACTACCGCTACTGATACTGCTACAGCTACGGCGATGAGGAGAAGGAGGAGGACGGCGTTTACCGCTCCTAGTAATGTTGCTCTCCTAGAGGCTCCAACTGCTAGGGAGGGTCGCACTGGGATAATTTTGTTGTTTGCTGTTTTTATTTGTTATTTTTCTGGGGGC